GGGGGGGGGTCCAAAATGTCTTACCAGTGAACTATTTGCACAAATTCACAGACAGACAATATATTTCTAACTCTTTAATCCTTTCTCAAGGAATTTGTCATAAGAAATCTTATTATATTTACTCTTCTAAAAATAGTTTTTCATAAAAACCTTTCTCGCTATAACTGGATTAATCTTCAAAAAGCATTAATTGTACACATTGTAAAACCACTGACATCTCTTCTCACCAACAATTTTATGTTAACATTACATCACCAATAAACTACATGAATAACAAATCTACCTAACGATAAGCATACGTAATACACTATTATGTTTTAGTAAATAAATGTTAACATTAGCAATTTGAAAAGTTAATTTAATTATACAATATTGCACGATATATTTTCTAAAGGTGTCAAGAATAGGTAATTACTCCAAACAATGTAGTTTTGTCGATAAGATAACGTTCGCATTGTGTCATATTTATATATATATTTCAAAAATTCAACAAGTATTACATACTGCTTTCATTATTTCACAAGTTTTACGATTTAGTGTACGTAACTTCATCACATCTAGAGAATGTGAACGTACTCCTTCAGTCTTACAGCCATTTCAAGATTGTCATTTAAAATTTAATGTGACTCTTCTCTCTCTCTCTCTCTCAGTAATAAACAATTAATTAGATGTACATCATCTTTAATTATTAGACATGTAATTCTGAATGTCAGCCTTGAAGTATGGAAAGAACCAATAGTAAGACTATGGGAGTCCCTTTTACTACACCATATAGTAACCTAAATTAATTTAGGTACATGATTAATGTTATGACGTTTCGTTGTATTCATTATTCGGTACTATACAGCAGACCAACTGTTTAATGATTGTGTGTATATATATATATATATATATAGATGTTAGTTAAAGATGTATTTTTCACCAATTACAAGAAATCTTTCACACATATATATATACAATAGTAAGACTGATAGTTTTAGTGTGTTCTGCTGTTAAGAATGTACCTTCTAAATGAGTTTAAACATTTTCCACTTGTTGCAATTTTCCATGTTACACTAATCAATTTGGCAATCACTAAATTAAAAACTTCATAATTTTAGGTCACTTAAATTACTAATGGGTCAAACATTTAAAACTTACATGCAGAGGCTTAAAATAAAATCATTTCTGATGTGGATTTCAGTAAAATAAGTATCGAGTATTACCTTTTTGAACACCCCAAAGAAAATGTCAATGTCATCGGCTTGCATGGTTGTTGTTGTTTATGGAACTCAAGCTAAATCTAGAATTTTCTTGTCATAACTCTTAGCAGTATTGCACTTTCAAAAACCATACCTCTTCCCATTAAAAAAATAAATTTTAAATCACAAGTTAATATCCAGCTTGGGATAATTTTCAGATGTGTACACGTCATTACACTGGGGTAATTTTCAGATAGAAACATATACAAGTCATTACATTTTTTTCAGTTCACATCACAAAAATGTAAAGAAGACCTCAGTGGTCAATTCAGCTGGAAAGCTGAATAGCCTTAAACTGTTATTGTGTTTGAGAATGAAAGAGTATAAAAGTAGGTAAACACTACATCAACGTATTTTCCATTAATAAAACCATTTAAAGCCTCATTAGGTGACAATCTATATTACTGACAAAGATGGGATGAACCCAGCTGTGCAGATGAGAGCTGTCATTATTCAAAACTTCAATTCTTAGTTGTTCAACATTATTTAATGTGAGGTTATGTTTTCATTTTAATAAATAACTATATATCAAATGTTAAAGAAATGACAAGTCAAATATAAGGTACCTTGTCTCAGGATTTACTATGACTTAAATAATGTCCAAAAAATGTTTTCATTTAGGTAAATATGCAGTGAATTTTTCTCAAAAACTTTTTGAATTGTTTGTTAGTGCCATTTTTCAAGAGTTAAGCCTTTTGTTGTTTTTTTTCTACTACAGCTTGTACGTGTGTGTGCACATATTTATAGAAAACTGTATAACAGATACTTAAATAAATAAAAAACATAATTCCTCAAACACACTTAACCAAGAACACAGTTGGAATGAATGAGACATATAACAGTTGTCACTTTCAGTTAAGACTTCTTTTAAATAATATTTGCAGCAATGGAAGGATCAAATAAAGGCTCACTGTAACTTGTCATTCTTTGGTCAGTGTCAAGTTTTAATGAATAGAAAGTAAGGTTTGAATTGTAGCATGTTTTTTTCTATACGAGCAATAACAGCGGAAAAAAAAGTTGTACTTGTTTGTCTTCTCCAATGCATTAAATGAATTTATTTCGTTCATATTTTTTATATTTAAATATTCATATATAAAGAGCACCTTACACATGAACCATTCTTTTTTTAATACATTTAGTATTTAAAGTTTTTATTATTTATTTGTAAGTAGGTTTGTTTTTCCAGTAATGTTGAGAATTTAATTTCTTTAGCGCATATTGGTGTATAGAAGACATATTAATACAAGAAATAAACGACCTTATAACACCAAAATGTTGCATGTACTTAATTATACACTCAACGTTTCGCTTTACAGGTTCTTCAGGAACGTTCACTAAAACACAAATCGAAACTGACAGTATAAAGCTTCAAATGGTT